GAGGACGTGGGCGAAGATGAGGAGGGGGGGGGGGGGGGGGGGTCCGGCGGGGGGGGGGGGGGAGGACGTGGGCGAAGATGAGGAGGGGGGGGGGGAGAGGGGATCCAGGGCGGCAGCTCGGGTGACGGGGCGGGGCGGAACGCACCAAATCACTGCAAACACAATGCGAATGGTTGTAGGTCGCAGTCGGACCGACGGACGGGCCTTGGAGCCAGCGCACCCTGGACTGTCTATACCTCGGCTAGAAGGTGCTGCCGGCGGAGCGGGAGCGGGATCGCGAGCGGCGGCGGCGGCTTCTGGAGCGCCTGCGGCCCCGCCTCCTGCCACCGCGGCGCCGGCGTCGGGCCGCCTCCCGGATGTGCTCGCTCTCGTCGGTTGGTGCGGGGGACATGGCGTGGGGCGCGGGGCTGGCGCTGCCGCCGGCGCCGCCCTGGCTGCGGCTCCTCCTGCGCGGCGAGCGGCTGCGGCGGCGTCGGCTCCTGCTGCGCCGTCGGCGCCCCATCCGTCTGCGTCGACGGCCCCGGCGAGCTGCTTCCTTGGCCTGGCCGTCGGCGTCCTCTGCGCCCTCGCCGTCGGGCAGCATGTAGTGGTAGCCCTGCTTGAGCAGCTCGCCGTTGTCCAGGGCTCGCTTGAGCGCCATGGACACCTGGCGGCGGGCGCGCTCCGAGGGCACCTGGTGCTCGGCCACCAGGAACTTTGTGATCTGGGCCGTGGTGGCGCCCTTGGCGCCCGGGCCGGCGCCCAGGGAGCGCAGCGCGTCGATGATCATGTCGCGGCCGCCGGCGCCGCCCACGCCGCTGACGCCCTCCATGCTCGCTGAGGTGTTGTCGGGGCACTGGGTCGCGGGCGCCGTCGTGGCCCGGTATTGTAGGCCGCGCCTGAACGCCCGCGCAGACGGCCGGCCCTGGGCGGCGGGGGCGCGGCGGGTCCGGGGGCGGGGTGTGCTGGCTCGGAGGTGGTCTGCGGCCGCCGGCCGCCCCCGCCGCCCCCCGGGCCCCCGGGCAGCACTCTCCGGGGGTGGGGCGCGGCCCCGGCTCTCCTACGCGCCCCGCCCGGAGGCGCCCGGAGGCGCCTGGGGCCTCCGGTGCCGGGTAACAGCCCGCCGGAGCGCGCCCGCGGCACTGTGCGGAGGGCGTGGCCAGGCGGCCGGGCGGGCGCCGTCGTGCCAACAATGCGCCGGCGCCTTGCGAGGCCCCGCGGTGCCCCCGGCGCCCCCTAGGGGTGCCCAGCATGCCCAGCCCAGGAGATTGGGGTACGTTCGGTAGGAAGCCCGTGGAGGAATCCGGCGCTTAAAGTAGCGGATCCAGCGTGGCGTGCGGCGCCAGCTCCCCGAGGCCGGGCGAGGCGTGGCGGGCCGGTCCTGAAGCGAGCCCTCCCCGGAAGACCATCTTGTCCAGTGAAGCGTGGCGAGCGCAAAGAAGGGTCAGGAGGGTCAGGACCGGGCGGGAGGAGTCTCGCTCGGCCCCGGTGGCCTTCGAGGTGCGGCCCGTCGCCTTCAGGTCTTCTTATTCTTTCTACAACACCCCCCCCCTTCCCGCCCGCCCGGGACGCGTGGTCTATCGCTCACGGGCTGCTTATATCGTCAGTGGACCCCGCCGGGCCGGGCCTGACTGGGGGTGGCCTCGATCGTGTCCCCCCACCCTTATCACCCTCGTCCTGTCAACGCTCCCCATTCGTCCTAGTCGCGGCCTGGACGCCTGAAGTGACCAGAGATTGGGCCCTACGTAGCCGCGCGTCCACGCCGAGGTCCACGCCGTTCCGGCCCGTGGGTAACGTTTTACGGGCGGCCCCCCGCAGCGCCCTGGCTGAGGGCCGCTCCCCCGGACCCTGAGGTGGGGGGCCTCGGTACCCCTCCGCTAGACGGCTAAAAGCCGCGCGCCAAAGCGGAGGGAGCTGCCGAATAAAAGTAGGGCAGCAACTTTGATTGCCTTGCAGGCATAGCCACGACGGTACAGCATGGCCACGCTCGCGAGCCGCTCAGAGGAGGAGGGGGGCAAGGGCAGGATGAGGGGGTGGGAGGAGGGGGGGGGGGTCGTTTTTCGGGTAGTGTTTTACTCCACTCGGGAGTCAATTGTTGTGATTAGAACAATAATGCTTCCCGCTTCGCAGTCCTGCATCTGCATTAAAGCGTGTGTATTTGTATTCTTTTCCTAGGGCACAGTTTTTTTCTAACTTGTTTGTACTGTGGCTGATGTAGTTTTGTACCAAATCGTCCACTTTGTACTTCTCAGGGTCGCGGGCGTGATGCCGTGCGCCTTGCTCGCCCTGCCGTTGACGACTTCGTGAGTCGTTGACGGCCTCCTTGCCGTGCCCCCCCCCCCCCCTTCCTAACCCACCGGCGGGTGCGTGTGTCCTCGGGTACCACCATACCGTCATATCCACCGCTTACCTGACGTCGTGTGGCATGGGCAGCGTGGATCCCCTGTCCAGCAGGATCTTGATGATCTCGTAGTTGTCCCGGTGCGCCGCCAGGATCAGGGGGGTGATGTCCGGCGTGAAGGTGGCGGTGTCGGACGGCAGCGCTTCCCAACTCTGCAACAACAACAACGACGGCATCAGCGTGGCGTCCTTGCAAGGGGGGGGGGGCTAGTGGTGCTTGTCGTTCATGGCAAGGGTGTGCCCCTACACTGTTAAAAATTACAACAGTAAATACCTACAGAATGGACTGGTAATTTTAAAAACAGTGTAATCCTGTAGTTTGCAGTGTACCTTATTCTGGAGGAAAGTTCTTTTCAAGCAATGTCAAGTCTATATCCCTCAAATACCACTGAACAGGTTTTGACCGAAGTATGGAAGTACAGGACGATCTGTATGAATTCTGTTTCTGAGTACAGAATTTTTAACAGTGTACTTCCTCCGCTCTACGTACCCGCGCCCCCAACCCCGAGCCCCCCCCCCCTCCCTCGCCTCGGTGCCGCCGAGTGCTCGGTCAGGCTTATCCTGCCGTGTGCCGCTGGTGTGCGCGCATTAGGGTAGCACTTGAGCACGCAGACCATCCGCGGGGTCAAGGTCTCCCGAGAGGAAACCCGATGCGGCACCCCCACCTCACCCCCTTCCCCCGACTCTGACCGCCCCCGTGCCCTTCCCTTCCCTCTTCCTTGTTTAGAGTAGTTTCAATGTCACGCGCACGCTCGGAATCCCTTATACGCCACGCCTCGCCCTCGCCTAGAGAGAGGGGGGCGTCTGGAAGTGAAACCAAGAAGAGCCCCGCAAGGTAACCGGGAAGGGAGAAGAGCAGGAAAAGGGGGGTGGGGGTGGAGGTCTCTGGGAACATAGAGATCAGGGCAAAGGAGGAAGTGTGGCTCTCTCTGTTCTCGCGGAGATGTCGGGAGAAGAAACGGCGGGTTGTAACAAGCTGGTCAGGGCAGGGCGGCAGCAGTGTGGCGTCCAATGGACAGCCATTTGTCGGGTGTGGGGC